ACTGCCGCCTATGTCCTTGGTGTGCTTCGCAGCTGCTTCTAGCTCGTCTAGGCTCGGTAGTGTGTAGTGTGTGTGTGTGTGTGTGTGTGTGTGTGTGTGTGTGTGTGTGTGTGTGTGGTGGTTCAAGAAACTAAACAATGTGGCCAAGGGTGAGGTGAGGGTGGAAAGATATACCATTGAATGCGCAGCGTCGCCCATCAACGTGACGTTACCGCGAGGCAGGAGCTGATCAGGGAGGACCGTCTCGACCAACTTGATCGGCGGGCGCTGGATCCCCTCGAGCGGCGTGCGTTGGATCCCGTCGACCAGAAAGGGTGGAAAGTCCTTGATCACCGCCAGCGCCTTCTGGAGGAGCTGTTCCGCGGTGGCCGAGGACGCCCAGCTGTCGTCGACTGCAACGTCGTCGCTGCGGTACGACACGTTCCAGTTGAATAAGGCATCGCCATTGCCGTCGCCGTCGCAGTGCTCGATGAGCAGAAAGTAGAACTTGCACGTGTCGGTCCCGAGTAGGATGCCACACGACGAGTGTTCGAGGATGGGCCGCCACTGGTCCTGGCCGAGCCGGACGACGCCGTGGATCACGACAAAGTTGGTGGGGATCAGCGGGCTGCGCTCCAGCAGCTGTTTGCGCACCGTGGACCGGGCCCCGTCGGCGGCGACGAGCAGCGCGCCTCGGGCGGTGGTGCCGTCTTTAAAGTGCAGCGTCACGCCGTCCGCGTCGTCGCTGTAGCCGGTGACGTGCTTGCCCGTCTGGAGGTTCGTGTGCGGTGTCAAGAGGTTCCGGATCTTCTCGCGCGGACAGAAGAACATCCTGCTGCCGTGCTCCTCGAGGCTTTTTGACCCCGTCACCCCGACGACCTGGTGGGTGGTCCCGTCCATGACAGCGAACGAGTCGAGCCTCTTGAGCGCGTAGTTCGGACTCAGCGTGGCGAACCCGGCAATGTCCCCAGGGAGGAGTCGCTCCAACTCGACCAGACACCTGTTTCACATTCACGGGCATCAGATTCCATCAGACCTCACTCACTCACCCGCAAACCGGAAAACAAAAAAAAAAAAAGAATTTGGTACAACCCACTTATCAAGCCCCACGGACCAACCCTGAGACCGCGACACATCGCGCTCGAAAATCTCAAAGTTGATGCCTTCCTTGCGAAGCATCTGTGCCAGCGCGAGACCCGAGGGTCCGGCGCCCGCAATCAGGATCTTGGAGTCTTTTCCCAGAATGGTCATGTTTCATAGCGTGAATTTGATTTCAGGTTTCCTCTCTCTCTCTCTCTCGTAGTATTTGTATTAGAGACGTCCGAGGTGGTAGGATTGTCTTATACCCTGGTGGACCCCCTCTGACCTGCTAGGTAGCAAGGTCGCAAGCTAGCTACACATTCTGCACGTGAATCTCTCGGTCAGAGACAGAGTAGGGGTAAATAACAAATCCCCTCTCCACGCGACCTTGGACTCTCTCTAGAGGCCGTTGGAAGTTGGGACGAGATATGATGGCGGATGAAAAGCGGGGTCTTTGATGTGTGGTATGTGTGTGTGAGTGTGTGTGTGTGTGTGGTGAGAACAATCCGTAATGGGTTAGGTTAGTTTAACATCTCTTCCACTGTATCCTCATTTGGCCCGCAGAGTATGAAAAGTGGAGAAACTCCCCAGGAGGAGATCATCAGTCTTGTCCGCCAGTCACCTGTCACCTGTTGCTTGTATTGTTACGAGTACGAGTACGGGTACGGGTAGCCATGAATTCGATCCTTTGCTCTTCTTGAACCAGCTAGCTGGTCTCCCTAATGAATATGTTCGGCTCACGTTCACGGCAAATACCACTGACGGTGCATTGTTTCTTTGTATGTCCACCTTTTCAAGACTACGACATCACACATCGATACTTTGTTGGATGATCATGGGTTGTCGACTCGAGTCGGATCGAATCGAGTGGAATCGAGTCTAGTCTAGTCCCGACCCGTGGAAATTCGGTGCCGAATTCCAGAAGGTCCGGGGTATGGCGGAGCCTAGCTGTATCGAGGCCGAGGATTCAGAGACGGCAGTCAGATCTCAAATATTCTCGGAGCGATGGCTGAGCCGAAGCCGTGTTTCTAGTGTAGAGTCTGCACAGATACAGAATTGCCAAGACAGACGCGTTGGGGACGGCACGAAACGTGAGGCGTGACGAGGGTGTTATAAATCTCTCTGGCTCTTCCAAATGCTGGGCAATCACGCAGCTAGAATGGGTCGACCTTTCGAGTTTCGCAGCGCTGATAGCTCGTCTCATTCAGTCCATGAACGCTGACAACTCGTGCGCATCATCATAAGGACATTATTCTCGCCCTTGAGTAACGCAACCGAATCCTGCTAGGTCCCTTCATGCGTAGCCTTTCCTGTTGCACTCAAGCTCGAGCAGGATCTGGGCGCGTGCCCGTTGCTCTGACTCTGGTCGACGAGCCAGTTCTGACGTGATGTAACCCGCATCGTATTCGCGCCCGAAAGTGTCAGTGTACCAACTCCACGATGTCAGATCTGGGTTAGTTTTCAAAATATACCAGCACTCCACCACGTCAAGGCCGAGTGAGAAGGTCCTCTCAGAGAGATCGACCCGGGCGGCACAGCTTAGGGACTTGTCGATCGTATAAGTCTCTTGTCCCAATTCAAGCAGCTGAATCTCGATCGGATTCTGGACATTGGCATTAGAACGTATATAAAGGCCAGGTTTTGCAGATCCACTCATACCAGCATTGCTTTCGCAGTTAATAACGTGAGCCAGTCAAACGGGCGAGAAGTCTCGCAATGCCGTATGATATTAACTTCCACCTCTCGCACCTGTTCGTTGATAGTGGATCCGAGGGTTTGGTCATGGTTGGATCCCGGCTCCCCGGTCTTGAAATATCGCAATGTAGCGTCAAGCCTCGTCAATTCAACGACAAGATGCAAATATGACATCTCAGTGATTGATTTCCTGGGGACCGGAAGCTGTCGCATGGTGGGGTTTAGGTCGATGTCATTCAGGTTTAATGGTAGCGCAACCTGCTGGGAGTGGAAGATAGTACTTGGAGCATGGCCGTGTTTTAGGGCCCTGTGGTAATCGAGAACGTATAGCGTCCACCAACAGCGACGCCAGAGCTGCATTTCAAGAAGAGATAGGTCGTCGCGGCGGCTGTCACCACTGTCTGGGAGCAAGAGGCGCGCTTCTGAGACGGCCCGATCAAGCAGAGCCGTGCCCACTCGCACATCGTCCCCAGACCGCCGCAAAAGGCAGATCTAAACACAAACTTTTGAGCTGAATAAGTTCACCAAGCTTGCAGACTTACTGTGTGAAGAACAAGGGCTTGCAGGACATATAAAGAGGACCTGTGGAGGGATGCCGCCTGTTCCAAGGCTTGATGCATCCTTTGCATGTACAGGGACGCGAGAACGGCCTTTTTCTGCCGGAATCGACTTTCGACCTCGCCCGGGGAAAGAACATCGACCGCAGCATAGCAAATGCTGAAAACAAGCGCCCGCAGGCTACAATCGGCCGCCCAAGAGTCGGATGCTGCACGGAGAATGTGTTCTGAAAAGGACGGACAATGGATTAGCTTAACGACGGGGTCAATGTGGCTTCTGTAGACGGCCCACAGCTCGAGAACTTGAGACCAGAGCGACCAAGAGTTCAGTGGCTCTGCGGGGAGCAGATCCGAGGGTATAGAAGCCCCCGCCGATAGATCAACGTTAGTCGCGAAGTTTAAAGCTGAAAAGCTGCTACCTGTTTCGCTCAGATGGCCAGAGATTTCAGGCGTCTTGTCGGCGAACCCAAAGCATGTGGACGCAGCCCTAGAAGTCTGACTCGCCGTTCCCTGGTCTTCATATCGACGTTCCTGCGCATCCGCAGATAATCTCAAGCCTGGCGAGGCCGCAGGACAAGTCAGAGAGCTCGGGCCAGCACTGGAGACAGCGTCCCCTCCCAACTCTGTGCATCCCTCTGCCATCGTCTTGACCAGATCTTCCGATTCTCTCTCCCGCCGTGATTTCCTCTTCTTGTAGGGCCCCCTCGGCATGCGACGTCTCATGAGCTGCTCGGTCGGGGGATATCGGCAGGGGATTTGGATCTTTGAGCAGGCGCTGCAGGTTCCGGGACGGCGATCGCATTTTATCTTCCGCGCGTGACAGGAGCCGCAGGCCGCCCGGGGTAGCGTTGGGACGTGGCCTGACATGAGGAAGAATCCCGCGGGCGCAGCAAAGCGCGGATGTTTGGGCCACCTGTGTTCTCAGCAGGCTGGTCGACTGGAGCGACTGCAAGAGTCGAGAAGAACAGACGTAGATATCCGGTCGAGGTCCAAGGTATGTGTCTCACTCTTGAGTTGGCATGCCCGGATAAGTTCAGTAATTGGAAATTGTGGTGAGCCGTGGCGGGGAAATATGCAGAGCATGCGGACGATTCCTGGGGAAGACTGATGATCTTCTCCACGAGAGACTTGGTACAATATGTAATGCAAAGCCACACCGCATTTAACCCTACCTACTTCCACTCACTCTTTCAACACTCAACTACCCAGATACCTAAGTACCGTCGTCAACACATCTGCACCTGTCCCGTGATACCTCCATGAAATAATCCCTCGACCCCGGACCCCGAACTGACCCATCGTAGACATCCCTCTGAACCGTACACCACCCCTTCAACAGCCACCCAAAGACGCCACCTTGGTGGTCGCACACGTCGTTCATGCACTTTAGAAGTGCATCATTGCATGTACGGAGTTCATCGGTGGGACACCCGGCTACCGGGAGAGGAACGCAGAGGGAAGACACGAATCAGCAGTCTGAGGGACAAAAGGCAGTCTTGGAGATTTGGGGGAAATACTTACCAACACACTTGCCGTGCTCGATGCAGCACTGTCCAAACTTTCCACTTCCAGGAGGAGGATCTGCAAAGAGGCCGATCCCGCAACCGTTGGACTTAAACTCGCCCTGGCCTGGCTTCAGCACCGCGTGTTGGCCGTGTGGACACCGTCGGACGCCCTCGTCTGGCGGTCCTTTTGAATAGGACATCTGTGCGGCGACGTCTCTGATGGCGAATGCTGCCACTAGTGAGCCTTCCTGATCTGGTGGATAGTTCGACTTGACTTACTGTGGTTGGCGCTGTGGCTCGGGAAGACGTCGTCGACATCGTCCTCGCCAAGTGCGTTCGTGTAGGTTTCCTGTGCCGACACCGAGGTTGTTGCCAAAGTAGCTGGCACCGCAGCACTCATCATGACAGGGCCGAGACCGCACCGGCTGCACCAGCTGTAGGAAGTCGGAGCCACGTCCTCCGCAGGCGCCGTGGACGTCGCCGTTACCAATGTGGGAACGACCAGGTCCGGACGCCCAAGCGGATGAGGGCTGGAGTCCTCATTTAACACAGGGCTGGGCGTATGTGTGGCGCTCTCCTCCCTTGCGACCAGCGTTGCCGTTGGCTCTGCATGACGAGTACCAGTGTCCGCCACACACCCCACCGTCGAGCTCGACACGCTTGTCGGCTCGGCGAAGACCGAAGCCGTGATGGTCGTGAATCGACCAATGACCTGTACCACGGACACGGCACTGAAGGGAGCCGCCCTGACCAACGACAGTAAGGTGACAAGCCCAAGGGCGACGACGTGAAAGGAGAAGCGCATCTTGAAATGCGGTGGAGGAGAGTACTTGGAGTAGGTACGGTATTTATCAGAGAAAGGATGTGAGGAAGTCTGAGCGCCTCGTAGATCGAATATTCGTGGGAAGCAACGTAGGATACCAACCTACATAGATGAAGGACATCAAGGTCGTCGCGAGAGAAACAGAACCTTCTTATATCTTACAGGCTGCTCACAGCAGGATGGATGTTCAAGTCCTCGCGACAGAGACTACGAGGTGGAGTTGAAAGGTCCTCAACCAGAAACACCTCAAGGGCAAATCCACAGGGTCTTCAAAACGAGGGTTTTTGGACGTAGTTTGTTTCGACCAGCGGACAGAGAAATGAACACGACATCGAATGGAGGCTGCAAAAGACACGATTCCCAGACCCAGTGAGATCAGTCAAGCAAGCCTTGTTAGCGGAAGGCGAAGAAACCGGAGACGACATTGCGAGTTCTTGTATTTCAGGGGCCACAGCCTTATTCTGCATCTTGTTCCACCAAGCACAGCAAATACTTTTTCCAGCCAGAAAGGCTTGTCGCTGTTATCCCAAGGCACCTTCAGTGTGTAGCTCAACTTGTCGCACATCCATCCTGATCCCAACTGGGTTTGTATCTTGAATTTTTGATCGACTTCGTAATGGACACTCCCCACCTATCAGCAGAACATTTCGACTGCCCCATGTACTATGCGGCGGCAGTCAGTGACTCCTGCCAAAGCTTCCATTCGCCCTCTCCCACTCCTGAATCATGTCTTTGACATTTTCTCGCCGGATCTCGTTGTGGCCGTTTGCGTTCCTCTCATTCTCTTCGAATCGTTCATTGTTCTGTTGGCTTTCCCTTCCCAAAGAATGCATCACCGGACTCTCACTCGATCCATTGCATTTTCCAACCTCTCCGTCATCGTACACACTGACTGATTGCTGGGAGAGAGATTGTGGCAAGAACTGTAGTTGGAGTTGGGGATACGGCTCGTCGTTTGTTACAATCACCGAGGGCCTATGATCTCTAACCTCTGGGCTTGGGCTCAAATTACTGCGTTGATTCGTGTCCGCGTTCCAGTTGTCCGTAGCAATCTCAGCGTTGCCATCGAGCGCGACAGTCTCGAAATTGTGATCGTATGCTAGCGTCGGTGGAGATCGCATGTATGCAGTAGCCTGGCTTTCATCGCTGACTGTGATTTTGGGATTGACAAAGGGACTTTGACGACCGTCAAAGTGATGCATAGCAACATCTTCTGCCCTATTGTGCATGAAAGGTGGTCCGGGGCTAAACGTGGCGCTTGGACCTTGCTCGTGGCCTTCAAATTGATACTCGTTCCTCAGGGGGCTTTTCTGAGCCACTGTTCCAGGAAGCAGTGCATCACGTCGACCATTAACAGGAGGTGGAAGGAGTGCAGACGGGTAACGAGGAAGATATCCATTGCCGCTGCAAGTGGACTGGTAAGAGTTTCGGAATTGATCTGTTGGAGGGGCGAGGTGACTGAGACGTTGTTGCGAGTTACACCGTGCGTAGGGATCCTCGACATTGTAGAAATACGGAGCATGGGAGCATCCACCCTTGGCGTTGCCAGTGCCCATATCCTAACATCACCTTGATGTCAGTATGATGTGTCTGGCACGTTCTCAAATGACGGGGCGAGAGAATTTCCGACGAAACTCACATTCTGCCACGAATTGTCCCCTGCGATGGTATATTCATCCCAGTTCTTGTTCTCTCCTTTCCGTCCCATCAGCATGGTGGTCGGTCTGATCTCTCCAATAGCCAGCCGTGCCTGCCGGCCTCTTTCCCACGCGTACATATTATTGACCCATCGGACCTCTCTCAACCTCGCGACCTGCGCTGCCGATCGTTGTTTATTGGGATTGTAGTAATCGGTCCCGCCTGTTTCGTCCATGGACTCAGGATCGATCAAAGCGGACTGACCGCGACGGCAGTAGCGAAAAATACTGGCGAAAATGATGGTGCACGCGAACGAGGCGAGAATGACTATGCCGACGATGAGGGAAGGGGAGATCGCTAGACTAGTTTGTCCACTGTTGTCGTTCTGTTGAGTGGCCATTGTCGGAGCGTCGATGGGTGATCACTGTCGTCGACTCTCAGAGGATGAAATCGATGAAGCTGCGCTGACTCTGATGGTGACGGTGTCGCTACTGGAAAGAGTGTGCTTGCGACAGGACAACGTGCTTGCGGCTGAACATAGTCGTGGTCATTGATTCAGGCAATGAAAGAGAATCTCGTCGGTATGACTTGTCCTCGTTGCAGCGCGTGAAAGGGGTAATATCGTCCAGGTGACCAAAGCGATCCGACGAACGTGAAGATTTTGTGCGGTGGGTGAATATCGCAGATGTGAAGTCCCGATTGTCGACAAACTTGATCTGATCTCCATGTTTACCACGGTGCGGCAGAATGCATATGTTTCCTCATTGCCGTCGCGGTACCACGTGAATTCCTTCACTCTCCTGTGCTCTGGACTTTCAAGGACACTTACAGCGCTTGCCACCCTCCTCTCGCCTGGTGGTGTTGACGCAGGCCATCTTGACACGAGACTTTCCGCTCGTTCAAGGGACAATGTCGTAGAGCCTCTTTTGATTGAGTCGCTCTGCGTGATGTTCTCCCATGCAAAGTACAGTATAGTGCGGTGGCCCGGGTCGTAATTTGCAACGAGCCCAGCGGTGATTGCAAGTGTGACGGTATCTCGCCCTGCGCTCGCCCAATGGGAGTAATTCGCCACTCTTCAATCACCCCTTGATTCATTGGCTATCGCACTGGAGCCGTCATACGGGAGCAGTCGAGAAGTGCGACAGAGTTTCTCATCTCAATGAGATCGATATGGCTGGAGTCAGGAGGCTGGCATCATGAGACTGGAGATTGCGAGGGTAGATGGTGGTGTCAAGATCTCAAACACCAGCAACAGCCATGAACTACGCAGCCTCAACGCCGAGAATTGGCTCTGCACATGCCTCCTAATGCTTCATAATGCCAGCCTCGTATGAAGAATCTCTCTGCTATCAATCACCATGTCAAGTCTTTGTCCACAGCTACAGCCATCTGCCGCAAAACAGATCTTAAACACCTACACCTACACACCCGCACGCAACGAGTTCCCCTCGCGGCGAATTCGCCCTGAACCCTTTCTGCTCTTGCAGTTCCCATGTTGCTGGTAGAAACCCCATACGCCTATCACCCATTGCTGCTTTCAAATGTCCCACAAGTTGTCTCATTCACAGAGTATTATCCTTCACGTCCCCTGAGCAATCCAATAGCCTTCTCAGCCTCTTCTGCACCATCTTTGCTACCATCATAGACCTTATTCATGTAGCCGCTCAGCTTCTGAAGAGCGTCCATCATCCTATCCTCATCAAATCTCTCATAATGCACGTCAAATAATGCCTTCATCGTTCCTTGGCATGCATTCATGCTCCGCCTGGCATCATCGAGCTTGGCCTTGACCAAAAGGAGTTGCTTGCAAATCTCGTCTTGAGCTGGGAGAACCGCCTTTGGCAAGATTGGGAAAGAAGCGGCCGCAGAGTCCCGGGCCAGGTTGTTTGCACGTTTGCGGGCAGGTTTAGAGGGCGGCTTCGAGGACATTCCGACAGAAGTGAAAGGCATAGTTTTCCGATGGATGGCGGTGGGGAATCCAAGGCGGAAATTGCTCCTGTTGACTATTTTCTGACGCTTGAATGTGGTGTTTTGCGAGTCTGCGCCCTCGAGTTCATCGTCTGAAAAGGTCAAGTCGATCACGTTTTCTTCCTTTATGTCCTGCAAAGGCCTCTTTCTCATCAGAGGCTGGACAGGGTGGAATTTCAACTCGACGGTATGGTTGGCCGGGGTTTGTATGGTAACTGCACTTCTTTTTCCCTTTGCGTTGCCATCTACATCCCTAGGACGATACCTATCAGGGTATATGGGATCGTTGAGTAGACGACTCCGGCTAGAATGGAAAGTTCCCGCCTGCAAGGCCAGTCGCTTGACAGCCCAGATGAGATTGAACAGGGCTTCATGGTTGAAAGTGTTGAACCCGGCCTTGGTGGCAGCATCTGCAACTTGGAGCTCGAAGCCCGCCAGTTCGACAGCTGGATACTGTTAGCCTTATTTTATTTTCCCCTCATAGTAGCCATACTGCCTTGATAAAGACCCGTAACCCCTGTCTCTTGATGCTCATACCAACAGCCACCTCCTCGCCCGCAGAATCCAAAATGCTTCCACGGTAGGCAGGTCCCTCTTTGCTGAATTGAGCTGGCCAACCGACCAGTGTCCCAGTGAGCGAACTCGCAGACGACCGCACCAAATGCATCGACATTTGGGCACCGGGGCCCGAGAGCCCAGTATCGGCAAGTGTAAAGTTTGTTTCGTGAATTTGCAGCGGACATCGTGAATGTGGGTGGTGGGTTCTGGAGGTGGTGCTACAGATCGATGAGTGAGTGATAAAAGTACAAGCGCCAGGTCGTAGAGAGACCCAGCTCTCCTTTGCAGGACAACGCTGAAGAGCTGTGGTAGAGATAAAGACAATCAACTAGTGGATGTAGTGAGTGAAAAGAGAGCGTAAGAAGCGAAAAGATAAAGCGAAGAGAATGTTATTGACTCAAACCTGGGGCAGCCAGCAGCAATCGAAGGAAGGCACCCACCAAAATCACATCAGCAAGACGAAGAAAAACATCGTCAAATTTAATGGGTGTGTTGATTCAAATCTAAGTAGCAGAAGAATTTCCCTCCAAGCCATCAATCATCTCAGCAACAGATCACGGTCTCTTCATCTGATAAACACCAACCCCTTATGCGGAAGCTCGACGCTTCAAGCACTTCTCTTTCCCCTGGAAGACCTCTCCCTGCGTCTTCAACTTCATCAACACATAGGCAGCCTTGGTGTCGGTAAATCCCCTTGAGGACTTCTTCCTTGCCATCACAGTATTCTTCTCCTTTGCATCATCAGAGTCATCTGAGCCTCCATCATAGTCTTCATCAACCTCCATGGCTTGCACAGCCGATCTGGGTGACATATCGAA